AAAGCAACCGTGAGTACTCATCCAAAGTACTCGCAAGCAAGGAACTACACTACATATGCATGGGTATATGTGTAAGGAGGCCATATCAGTGGACTGAACTGCAGAATGCCAGAATAAGAGGGGGATAGCTAGCCCTATCAAAGACTACGCTTCTGGCAGCCTCCGTCTTGCAGCATGTAGAAGAGAGTAGACTGAAGTCCTCCAAGTAGCATCTCCAAGTAGCAACTCCAAGTAGCATCACATAGCATAATCCTACCCGGCGATCCTCCCCTCGTCGCCTTGTGGAAAAGTGATCACCGGGTTGTCTGTGGAACTTGGAAGGGTGTGTTTTATTAAGTATCTAGTTCTAGTTGTCATAAGGTCAAGGTACAACTCCAAGTCGTCCTGTTACCGAAGATCACGGCTATTCGAATAGATTAACTTCCCTACAGGGGTGCACCACATAACCCAACACGCTCGATCCCATTTGGCCGGACACACTTTCCTGGGTCATGCCCGGCCTCGGAAGATCAACACGTCGCAGCCCCACCTAGGCACAACAGAGAGGCCAGCACGCCGGTCTAAACCTAAGCGCACAGGGGTCTGGGCCCATCGCCCATAGCACACCTGCACGTTGCGAGGGCGGCCGGAAGGAGACCTAGCCTAGCAGGCGTTCCAGTCCAATCCGGCGCGCGCCGCTCCGTCGCTGACGTCTGAAGTGCTTCGGCTGATACCACGACGTCGGGATACCCATAACTACTCCCACGTAGATGGTTAGTGCGTATAGACCAAGTGGCCAGACTCAGATCAAATACCAAGATCTCGTTAAGCGTGTTAAGTATCCGCGAACGCCAACCAGGGCCTGGCCCACCTGTCTCCTAGGTGGTCTCAACCTGCCCTGTCGCTCCGCCACAAAGTAACAGTCGGGGGCCATCGGGAACCCAGGCCCACCTCTACCGGGATGGAGCCACCTGTCCTTTCAGCCCCTCATCAGAATCACTTGCGGGTACTCCTCGAGATGACCCGACTTTAGTCACCATCTGTATAGTACGAATGTATGTATAGTATATACCCGTGATCACCTCCCGAGTGATCATGGCCCAATAGTATAGCAAGGCAGACTGACAAGGATGTAGGGCCAATGATGATAAACTAGCATCCTATACTAAGTATTTAGGATTGCAGGTAAGGTATCAACAGATGTAGCAGCAATGTCAGGCTATGCATCAGAATAGGATTAACGGAAAGCAGTAACATGCTACACTACTCTAATGCAAGAAGTATAGAGAAGAATAGGCGATATCTGGTGATCAAGGGGGGGAGGGCTTGCCTAGTTGCTCTGGCAAGAGAGAGGGGTCGTCAACACCGTAGTCGTACTGGGTAGCAGCGGCGTCGGTTTCGGTGTCTAGCGGAAGAAGAGGGGGAAGAAACAATAAATATAGAGCAAGCATAGCATCACAAAGCGTAACATGGCAATGTGCTGTGCTGGGTGTGACCTAACGCATGGCTACACGATATAGGTGAAGGGGGGATTCAACCGGGAATGTTTTCCCGGTTTCGGACATGTGTTAGACAAATGACCAGAGGGGGAATGTCCCATGTTCAGCATGCTAGGGGCATGTGACAGATGAACGGACCGCGTATTCAGATTCGTTGGACTTTTCTGAGCAACTTTCATGTAGAAAACATTTTCATCTGAGTTATGGATTATTTTAAATGATTTTTTTGAAGTTTCCTAAAATTCCTGGAATTAATAATAATTCGAAAATAAAAGATTAAAAGCTATGGGTACACAGGAAAAGTATCCAGAATGTTTCTTATCTGGCTGACAGGTGGGGTCATTGACTGAGTTGACCCGGTCAAAAGTTGACTGGTCAAAAGGGGAATAGTATTTGGGTCCCACTTGTCATTGTCTCTAGCTTTATTAGATTAACCAAATTTTGTTTAAATTACAGTGGGGCCCTTCTGTCATGGAGTCATTAACTTAACAGAGATTAGTTAACTGAAATTAATTGTTTTTTTAACTAGCATTTAGCGGTTAGTTAAACCGGTCGGGCGCACGCGTCAGTGGGTCAACCCACTGGCTAAACGAGTGTGCGCGCGTGCCCGTCGGCAAGCACAAAAAACGGCGGCGGGTTCGGGACTCGCCGTCCGGTGTGGCCAAACCGCATGCGGTTGGCCGCGTTCGAACATGGGGTCGAGCCGCGTCCAGGGGTGATGAAGGGAGGCGCGGGGGTGGCCGAGCACGTCGAGGACGACAACGCCCAGCGGCAGTTGTAGGCGGCGCTCGGTACCGCAGTCCTGTGGGACACGGAGGCGAGCGTGCGCGGGGCTGTGTGAGTGGTGTGGCCGGGTCGCGTAGCACGAGCGGCGACCACGGGGAAGTACGGGAGCAGAGAGGGGGAAGGAGAGGGGAGGCGCAGCCGGCGCGGCGGCTCACCGCGAAGCTGTAGGGAGGGGCAGTGGGCTCGATGCGGCTTGGGGTGGTCCGGCGAGGGAGAGGACGAGGCGGACGACGGCGACGGGGGCGAGGCAGTCCGGCGACGGCACGGTCGCGGATGAGGCAGCGTCAGCGCGGTCGGCGACATCGGAGCCGCATCCTCCCTGATCCAGAATCGAGCAGAGGAGGGGGGTCCGACGATGGGGTGGCAGGTGATGGAGGCAGCAGGGCGGGGTGGCTTCAGTGAGGCCCAGGCGCTCCGGGCGGCGAGCGCGTCGGGGTCGATGGGATCGGGGCGCCGTTGGAGAAGCAGGCCGGTGGGGGAGCGCTTCGGCATCCAACGGCGAGGCGGCGTCGGGCGGCGGCGAGCGCTGGGCGTCGGGGTCGACGGGATCGGGGCCGATCCCGATCCAGATCGGTAGGGGGAGGAGAAGGGGAACGAGGGGGGAGTGGGGTTCGTGCGGGAGCAGTGGGGGTGGACCGGGCTAGGGTTCGGTCGCTCGGGGAGATAAGGGGGAATGGGGTGGGCCTCCTGGTGGCCTCGATGCCCAGTTGGGCCGAATGGCCCAGGGGGAGGGGGGCTTTGCTTTTTTCTTTCTTTGGTTTCTATTTTCCCTTTTTTCTGTTTTATTTATTTAGCTACTGTTATGTACTTAGTGTAGGTACTAAACGATTTTAGTTAAAGTTGAAACTCCTCACATAATTACCTACTGATATTTTGGGCATTGTCCGAAAGGTTTGGTGGGTTATTTGGAATTGTTTGAAAATAAGTTCACATTTTAAAAGGCATAAAAGGTGTTGTATGACCACTTTAATTACTTCCAGGGGAGATTTAAAAATCCATTTAATGTTAGATCCTCCAGGTTAATTACCTAGTGAATATTCGCAACCGATCGAACATTTTTGTTTTACCGGTTGAAGAAATAATAATTTGACTTTATTTTAACTTTGAATTTGTTGGGTTTGGATCAAAGTGAGGTTTAGCAAATTAATTGCGATGACATGGCAACATTAGGAGGGGATTACTGTAGCTTAAATACCCGGGCGTCACACTCACGCTCCCATCCTCCCATCGCCCACTCTCCCCTCTGCATCTCACTGGCGGTGATGACGAGATCTACACGGCGATCACTCCTCCCCCTCCCTCCTCCGTGTCAATGGTGATACGTCCTGCATCTCCTATGTAGCATCCATTTTAACACGTCGCTTTCGATTTGCTGTGGAATGTAAATTGCACCTATTCAATTGACAGTTAGGCTTCGATTTCGGACTGATTGAATTGGTTGTGATTTCCCCCCGAATTGAATCGATTCGAGGGCTTGAACATACGTGCATGGGTTTCACATCCCTCTTCGGGGTAGGGATTTCAAGTGCTTGAACAAACCATCGATGATTTGAACAAACCCTCGGATCGATTTGAGTGTTTTCACCCACACGTGGTGGCAATTTCAAGGGTTTGAACAAACCCTCCAATGGATTCGAGGGTTTGAACACACATGTGGTAGCCTAAAGCTTGCAGTCGACCACCTCGAGTTTTCAAAAAATGTGTTCACCAATTCAAAAAAAATGTTCTGAAATATTTAATCCTTTTCATGTTTCCAAACATGCTCTGAATTTCAAAAGAGGTTCACATTTTCAAGTTTTGTTTTTACAAATTTAAAAAATGTCGGGATTTTATAATATTTCTTAATAGTTGTACCAAATATTTAGAAAATTTTAAGAACAGTCGTGTTTATTTGAAAAGGCGTTCAATACTTGAAAAACTGTTTGCAATTTTCTAGTACTTTTTCTTTTGAGGATCAACCCAATTTTCTAGTACTATTAGGTTATGCAATACCGTTAGTTCTTGAAACTATGAGCTACTATTTTATCAGTACAACTAGTCGGTTTCTGTGGCTTGCAAGATGAGTGCACCAACAGAAGGTTCGCGGTTTGAACCATGCCACTCACGAGGCGTTCCTTTTTTGATATTTTTGCACGCGACTGCTTGTTGTCAGTTTGACATTGGGCCGGCCTAGTCGGAGAAGCTCCCATCGTTCTGGGCTGGGTGTCGTGGGCGACAAAAGAAATACAGCAAGAAATTGAAACAAAACAAACAAACAATACAATGGTGAGGCTTTAGTTATCTAATAATGATGTATGATGTTGTCATAGTTGGATGTGAGGTATTATGTGATATTTAGATGTGACATAATCGGAGGCTGGTCGCCGAGAGTAAATTATGGGAGTACTTAGAACTCATCTAGATGAGACGTAATTTGGTCTCATTCACCTGGAAAACAAGAACGGATACAATCTACGTCAGCACACACGCATCTTATAGCATCACATCCAATGGCTATAAAAGATGAATGAGATCAAATTAAATCTTATCTAGATGAGTTCTAGCAAAACTGGTAAATTATCTCCATGCAGGAGAGAGAGGGGGGGGAGGAGCAAATTATCTATAAATAGATACCCGAAGTGGATGTCATTCACGACGAAGACGTACGCAGTGGTAGCCACATCCAGACTTCCAGAGTTCCGGACTGATGCATATGGTAGCCACCGACCAGAGCAAGACGGCGACCAAGAGGTTCGGATGGCTGTACGTGGCGCGGTGGGCGGCGGCGTCCGTGGTGACAGTGCTGGCCGTGGCAGTGATCATTCGGGCCGCGGTGCTGATGCTCCGCCCCCAGAAGCTCCAGTTCAGGCTCTCCGGGGGCCATGTGGCAGTCGACAGGATCCCGTCGATGCCGCCGCCTGACAACGTCGTGACGCTCACCTTCGTCTTCGTGGCCTACAACCCCAGCGGGCGCGCCCTCCGGCGAGTACAACAACGTCACCGTCCGGCTCACGGACATCACGAGCGCGTCGTCGGCGTCGCCGACGAAGATCGCCGAGTTCGACCTGCCGCTGCCAATCGCCGTGTCGCCGAGGATGGCGCAAGAGACGATCGTGATGGTGGGGATGACGCCGGGCGAGGACGTGCCGATGCGGTACGTGCGGGCGCTCTTTGAGGGCCGCAGCGTCGAAGGCGTGGAGCTGATGCTGAGCGGGGTCTTCGCCAGCCACGTAACGACGACGATGGCCAGCGGGGAAGTCACGACCAGGTACCCCGCCACGTACTACTGCTGGCCGGTCACCATCGCCGTCGGTGGCTCGTCGTCGTCGTCATCGCCGGACTACACCAGCTTCGTCGTCACCGACGCGCCGTGCATGGACGAGTCGGAGGCCCCGGCCATCGTGTGATTTGAGGCTAGCTCCGACGGTAGCAAGCTACTAGTAGTTGGTATGGATCAACAAAGCTATGCCCGACTGATCTACTATCTACCAAGCTGCAATCTTTTCACCAAACTAATGTAAGAATCGGTTGATAAGGCCGGCTACATGCCTGGATGGTCATGGCGATTGATCGTCGACCCATCCATGGCTGCTGCCTTGCATGCCTGTCAGTGTGAGTTTAATTTGGGACACACGTACTCCTTGCGGTTAATTGTGCGTGTTTTACGACTGACGACGAGCAGCAGCAGTGCAGAGGCGTGCAGCAGCGCAGGTTTACCATTTAGTACACGCGATGGCTAGGCTAGGGCCCAATAACTAGCTGTCTTTGTTAGGGCATGTACAATGCATAGCCTCAAGGTGATGCCTCGCATGCCATGTAGGATCGGATATGACGTAAAGTAGGTTCGGTTAGGGAAGCGGGATCCTCTTCAGGAGGCGGGTGCTTGAAAAAAAAAGTGTGGTCCAATGACAAAAGTTAAAATGTTGGAGTGAAAAGTAGAGATAGATGTGTGGTAGAGTCTTTATTTTTATTTCTTAATGAGACCCACTAATGGTAGCTTGCATTCGGGAGACAAAATAAATATAGATGCCTCAAATTACTTTTTGTCATGGGGCATATGTATCCATATGCCACCATTGTACATGCACTTAGCAATGGCTAGGCTAGGGCTATCTAGGTACGTGTAGTAATAAGTTCTGTCTTAGAAGCAGGACTGTCCTTTGTGAGATACTCTTTAATGAGAAGTCGCTCGCACTCTGCAACTTTCTCATCAAGTTTTACGGTGCATATCACCGAGTGGAGACAATATAGCTATTGGGCTCGTTAACCATGCATGAAGACAGTAAATTTTGCTTCTTGTTGCTCTTGTACCTGTTACCGTTCAGTACTACAGGACCGATGATAAACCATTCATACACATACATTGATGTGGGGTGGGGGGGCAGTATGTATGCCACGACCTACGCTGATTCTAACACGAGTATCGTTGAATTCCAAAAAACTTGTTTTTTTTGCGATAGAAAGAGAGTTTTATTTCATATGCATAGGATTACAATCAAGAGGCACCAAATCCTCAATACAATGAGGACATCTCCCTAGCCATACAGCAGTAGTGAACTCCGTACGACTATACAAAGCCAACTGATGTGCTACCCTATTTTGTCCACGCTTGATTTTTGAAGGAACAAACTCCCGAGTCTCCATATGATGCTTGATCTCCGTCACCAAGTGTCCATAAGCTGACCTAGTTAAACTCTCCCCGGTCAATGCTGCCAACGCCGATGCTGAGTCTGACTGCACAACAATTGGCATGGAACAATGCTGCTCGGCCAGTGCCATGCCTTGCATGATCGCATGCAGTTCCGCTTCCAACGCGTCGTTGCAATTGAATATACACCTGTATGCTGCAAAGATAATACTCCCATCTTAACGCCGTAGGATCATACCCGCCGCAGCAGACCCGTCCTCCTGCATAAAAGCACCGTCCACCGAGAGGGCAGCGAATTCAGCCGGCGGCCACGGCCAAGCCAAAGGGGCGCTCGTCCTGGGAACTACGTATGGAGCCTCCTGTACCCTTGGCATCTTCCCTTTAATAATTTCTTTCGTTGAAAATCTGCCACATAGGTTGAGTGAGTTCATGTAACTCTGGAGATAGTCTGATGTCGCCGACAATGGGGGAGCCTCCTTTCCATGAGTGAGGTCTGAGCGCAAAGACCAAATTCGCCATATCAGCATGATCGTGCAATCCCTCATTTGATCATCGCAGTTCGCAAGAACATTTAACAGCCAGTCTTGTCCTGTATCATGTAAAACATCATTGCTAGGAAGACGCCATACCAGCCTCATGTGTGTCCAAATTCTGCTTGCATGATCACATGATACAAGAGCATGGAAGCTCGTCTCCTTCTCTCTCCCATATAACGGACATCCATCCCTAACTGAGATGTGTCTATATTTCTTGCACTCATTTGTAGCAAGGGCACCCGAAACAGCCTTCCAAGCCACAATCTTCATTTTCAACGGAACTTGGGAACTCCAAATACGCTGCCAGATAGGCCTCCGTCCTGAGGGGTTACCACTGGAGGGACTTAAGTGTACCGAATGTTGAACTTCCGTTGCGAGATGGTAAGCACTTCGGACACTAAAGTGTCCACTCTTTTCAGGGAACCACGCGATGAAATCCTGCGCATTCCTAGGAGATGTACGAATCTTCAGAATCTCCCGCACATCCAAGTCCCAAAAGTGTTCCCTGAGCCGCTGCTCATTTCATGCACCATACTCATCCAAGAAGTCAGCCACCCAATTGTATCGACAATTCCCCTTGAGAGTTACTGGCCGAAAATTATGTCCTCTAGGGATCCAAGCATCTCTCCGTGTTTTAATGAGAGTACCATTCACTAGTAGAAAAGGGGGCAAAGGTCCAGGCCGGGTCAGCCCATTAGTCCCGGTTCAGTCACGAACCGGGACTAATGTGAGCATTGGTCCTGGTTCGTGCGGCTAAGGCATTAGTCCCGGTTCACCTGAGCCCTTTAGTCCCGGTTTGAGGCACGAACCGAGACTAAAGGGTGCGATGCCCTTTAGTCCCGGTTTGTGTCTCAAACCGGGACTAAAGATTAGACCTTTAGTCCCGGCTTGAGTCACAAACCGGGACTAAAGGATGCAATGCCCTTTTGTCCCGGTTTGTGTCTTAAACTGGGACTAAAGGTCCCATTTTTAAACTCTACCCCCCGTGTGGATCGCCTTTTTTGTTTCGAAAAAATCAAAAGAAAATGATAAAAACTTCAAAAAATAAAATCCTTCGAGAGGTAGTTATATTACTACATCTACTAGTTAGGAAAATTTAAAAACTTAAATTTGGACATGTTTTGCAAAAAATGTAGGGAAAATATAAAACGGCTATAACTTTTGCATACGACTCGGAAAAAAACGTATAATATATCAAAATGTTCAGAACGAAAATCCGTGGGTGATTTTGACTGCCTATGGCCTGTTTGCAAATTTTTAGAATCCTCAAATTCTAAAAGGAAAAAAAGTTATGCTCAAATTTCAGTTTTTTTTGAATTTTTGTTAAATCTGGTCAAACTATGGTCAAACTACTTATTCAAGAAGTATTAGTGTTACTAAATAATTATTCAATAATATTAGTGTTACTAAATAATTATTTCAGTTTTTTTGAATTTTGGTCAAATATGGTCAAACTGTGGTCAAATTGTGGCCAAACAATGGTCAAACTACTTATTCAAGAAATATTAGTGTTACTAAATAATTATTTCATTTTTTTGAATTTTGGTCAAATCTGGTCAAACTATGGTCAAACTGTGGTCAAACTACTTATTCAAGAAATATTAGTGTTACTAAATAATTATTGTTTTTAGAATAATAGTTTCAAACTCAAACAGTGAAATGTGTGACTTCATGCTCAAGCTAAATTCCCGAGGGTTAATAGGATTGACATCTTACTATTGTCAGAAAAACAACAAGTGCAGACTTGGAAACGAGGGAGAATAGAACCCGGAAGTTAAGTGTGCTCAGGCTGGAGTAGTGAGAGGATGGGTGACCGTTCGGGAAGTTAGATGATTTGGAATGATGAGGGGTGATTAGAGATTAAATGTTAAATTGAGCAGTGATGAGGGGTGATTAGAGATTAGAGGTTAAAAAATTTCAGAAATTTGAAAATCAAAAAAATTTCAGAAAAAAATTCAAAAAAATCATAAAATTTCTTTTAGTACCGGTTGGTGTTACCAACCGGGACTAAAGGTGGACCTCCAGGCAGTGGCCACGTGGAGGGCCTTTAGTCCCGGTTCGTATAAGAACCGGGACTAAAGGTGGAGGCTTTAGTACCGATCCTTTAGTCTCGGTTCCAGAACCAGGACTAAAGGCCCTTATGAACCGGGACAAAAGGCCCTTTTTCTACTAGTGATTACCTACTCGCCATATAATGCCTTTCTTCAAAAGATCAAGTCTGTGAACAATACCTTTCCACACCGCCGAAGAACTAGCTGAGAATACCCTGTCCAATAAATTCCCCCTTGGGTAATATTTAGCCTTCAACAAACAAGCACACAAGTTGTCCGGACTGTCAATGAGACGCCACGCCTGCTTGGCCAACAAAGCTTGATTAAAGGCCCTCATATCACGAAATCCCATACCTCCCATAGCCGTCGGAAGCATCATCTTCTCCCAACCAAGCCATGCCATCTTCCTCTTCCCGTTCTCCACCCCCCACCAATACTGCCTCATCATCTTTGTAAGATCATCACACACCGAAGCAGGAAGTCGGAACACACTCATAACGTATGTTGGAATTGATTGTGCCATAGCCTTGATGAGAATCTCCTTGTTCCCAACAGAAACATATTGTTCACTCTAATCAATTAGCCTTTTCCTTAGCCTGTCCGGAAGGGTCTCAAACTGACCCTTATGCACTCTACCTTCAGGTACCGACAAACCGAGATATTTTGGTTGAAACACTTGTTGCTGCACCTCCAAGATATTATTGATTTCCTCCACCACTGACACATTACAGTTTCCAGAGAAAAGGATGGAACACTTCTCGGGATTAATAAGTTGACCTATAGCCGAGGAATAAGTGTTCAACAAACCTTTAACAATGTTCTCTTGCTGGCCAGAAGCTTCAAAAAACAACAAGGTATCATCCCCAAAAAGATGAGATATCACCGGTGCACCACGGCAAATGGTCACTCCTCTCTTGAATTTCCAAAAACTTGTTGGCCATCCAATTACTCCCTCCATTCCCTTATACAAGGCCATTATGAAAAATACAGTTTGCATCTATACAAGACCACTAACTGTAATCGAGGAAAAAATTAATGATGTTTTCTCGTACTACCAATTGTTTTAATACTTGCATGCATGTAGTCATAATGACACTGTGCTATTTCCTTCCAATTCCTTCCTTACATGCACCTGGGCGTATTAATGATCCCAGTTAACAAAAACAAAAGTG